GCGCAAAATTTGATAGGCTGGTTCTATGATCTATATGGAAGAACCAAGAGTGCCAGGACTAGCCAAGACACTGGTGAAGAGAGGAACAAGATGGGGGAACTTCTCCTACCAGATATGAAGACGTATTATAAAGCTAAAGTGATTAAAACTATAGAGCATGAATGAACAGACCTATAGACTTGAATAGAGAATCGATCCCAACCCAAAGGGAAACATAATATGTGGGAGATGGCATTGCAGGTCAGTGGGGAAATATGAACTATTCAACATATAGTGTTATGACAATTGATTATACATATGGAAAACAAAAAATGAAATTGGATCCCTATCCCAATCTGTACATAAAAATTGATTCCTAGTGACTTAAAGGATTAAATGTGAAAAGAAGAAAATATAACATCTTTATGACATTAGGGAAGAATTTCTTTTTCTTTTAGTGCTATAAAGCTTTTGTATTTAAACCTTAATATAAAAAATTGTTCAAATCCATAAACTAAACAAACATCTGAAAATTAAACTTTAGGAATAAAAGTTTAACATTCAAACAGGAGTACAGTTTTCAGGGAATACCCAGGAAGGTAATTTGTTGTCTAATCCAGAATACTGGTAACAATCGCTTCATGATGAATAAAATGTTTCACCAGCAGCTTTATTCTGGCCAACATCTTAATGACTGTGGGTCCTACACCTTAGAAGAAATTGCTAAATAAATCTTCTCTTAGGCTAAACAAAACTTGGCTAAACAAGATTTCAGAGGGGATAATCAAAGCATATAAGTGAACAAAATAAATTGTTCTTTAGAGATGGAGGTAAAAGTATGTCCATCCATCACAGTAATCTTAGCCTCTGGAAGATAATTCCATTTTTAGTGTTTTACCTGCTTTAAAAAACAAACCCCAACTTAGATTTTCTTGGAGTCTGTGATATCTGCATCTTGCAAATTCAAACCACATATGCTCTTTAAAACTCCTCCATGTACACCACTGTCAGAAAAAACATCACTAAAAGTCACCGACTTCCACACTCATAAAAGGATGATTTTTTTAATTTCAAGATTTTATGTTTACTAGAGACAGCCTATGTTAGAGTGTATCAATCACGTCACACAAAGAAAAATATTTCCAAAGTGGTCTCTGTTTAAGAAATGCTTCTGTTATTATAGATCATTTTGCAATATAGTTTGACTAATACATATAAAAACCCGAAAATTGGCTCATGCAAGCATTTTGAATTAGTAGACTACCCTCATGGAAGAGTATTCACAATTAGTCTTATAGGCTCTGAGAGGTGGAGGTGGACCCTGGCAATCCAGGTCACCAGCATATGCCACCATTAGTTTATGCCTCTCTTCTGGCGCATAGTCCAGTACTGGTACCGTTTTATCATTCTGCAAAATTTCGTCTACATCTTTCAGGTGCTGGTCAGATTCTTAGATTAGCTTTTTAGTTCTGTTCTGTTGATGAACAGACAACTTCAGTTTGAGGGACTGCCAATCCCAGCATCTTCCACAAGCTTTCACTAAATGAATTATGTTATAAATTTGGTTTCCTTCAAAAATGTCCTGAAGTCAGCTTTGGTTATGATGTATTTGTCTCTCGTGTATTCTTCAAATTCTCTTTATTTTTTCCTGTCACTAAAGGAGAACCGAATGCACTGAGGATCTTCCTTAAAGATTTTTTTTTTACTTCTTTTCACATGGATATTAAGGTATTCACAAAAGTTTCATCCAGGAGTTGCTTAAAGTCTTCCCTCTTCTTTTTGGTAAGTGCATCGATGTGTTCATTAAGCTTCTAATTCTTTTCTTCTCCCAACGAAGATCCACATTCCCAATAATGATCTTTTTGGAGAATCTTCTATCAAACCATGACAGATCTGAAAAACATACCTCAACAACCCTGTTAGTGCAGAAGGATTTTTCAAGAAAGTTCCAGGGTATCTCCTGGGGTCAGTATACCCCCAGTCCTACATCTTACAGTTTTTTCAAACAGCTTTATTCAGATATAATTCATGTACCATACATTGAAAATGTTCAATTCAATGGATTTGAGTATACTCATAGTTGTGCAACCACCACCACCACAATCTAACCACAGGATATTCTCATCACCCTGAAAAGAAACTCCACACCCATTAGCAGTTACTTTTCATTCCACTTACAGCCACTAATTTTTCTGCTTATTCTGGATCATATAAATGGAATCACACAATTTGTGATATTTTGTGACTGGCTCCTTTTACTTAACAGTGTTTTCAAAGCTCATCCATATGTAGCATGTATCAGTCCTTTATTTCTTTTTATTGCCAATGGTTATAGACCTAGTAGAATTGCTAAATCATATGGGGCAACTCTATGTTTAATCTTTTGAGGAAATGAGTCTGCTTTCCAAAATGGCTCCACCATTTTATGTTCCCACCAGTAATGTACAAGGCTTCCAATTTCTTCAACATTTGTTATTCTTTTTTTAATTATAGCCATTGTAGTGGATGTGAAGTGATATCCCATTGTGGTTTTGGTTTTCATTTCCCTGATGGTTAACGGTGTTGAGCATCTTTTCATGTGCTAACTGGCAATTTGTTATAGTGGTTTATGCTTCTTTCAAAAACTGCTGTCATATCAAACATTTTCAAAACCCAGGGTGCTTTTCAGTGCTAAGGCAATAATTGTTCTGATGTGCTTTCCTTTGCCCTCTATGACATACCACGGCATTCTGATATTTTGCCCAAATACTGTACATACAAACAGCAAGACTTGGCTCGGCTGCCCATTGTTAAGCCCAAAGTCAACAAAATGCATGGAAAGTTTAAAATCCTTCAAAATGTTATAGTTAAGGTTTTGCTAAAGCAAGTGTTTTTTCTAACTCCTTGAGCTGCATATTGCCTTGAGTAATCATCATCCGGATCATATCCTCTTCGTGGCACTTTTGTTCCTTTTGAATTCCTCCCTTGCCCAGTCCTTCAAGTATTTGCAATAAGAATCATTTGGAGCTTGCCGAATTGCTTGCAAAATCCTTCTGTAGAGAAGGAGCACTTGTTGCTTTCTCATGAACTGCTTTAGCGTCACCGTCGCTGGGGGTAAGCGAGAAGCAGGCATATCCGCCAGACAGCGTCCCTCTGAAACCTCAGCGTGCAGGAGTGGAAGTTGGGAAGGAAGAATTTCTGAAGCACAGACCCAAATCACAAAACAAATAAATAGCCTGATAGATTGGTAAAATTATGAACTTTTTGTTTATCAAAATAGACAATAGATAAAAGATATAGACCAATCACAAATTGGACAAAAATATTGGCAACACGTGTAATCAAAAATCCTCCTACAAATCAATAAAAAACAATTCAAGAAAAAAATGGACAAAAGACATGAATAGCTCTTTTATAGGAAAAGACACTTAACTGGCCTATGTCTTAGTTTGTTCAGGCTGCCATAACAAAATACTATGGCCGTAACAAAATACTATGGACTGAGTGGCTTAAATAACAGAAACTTATTTCTTACAGTTCTGGAGGCTGAGAAGTCCAAGATCAAGGTGTCAGCAAGGTAGGTTTCATTCTGAGGCCTCTTGGCTTGCAGGTAGCCACCATCTCACTATGTGCTCACGTGATCTTTTGTTACTCTGTGTATGATGTGTGTGTGTGTGTGTGTGTGTGTGTGTGTGTGTGTATGAGTGAGAGAGGGAGAGAGACAGCATGTGTGCACACTCTAGTGTGTCTTCTTTTAAGGGCATTAATCCCATCATGATGCCCCCACCCTAATGACCTCATCCAATCCTAATTATCTTCCAAAGGCCCCATCTCCAAATACCATCCTATTGGAGGCTAGGGCTTCAACATAGCAGTTGGGAGGAGGACACAATTCAGTCTATAGCAGCCTATAAACATCTTTTTACTGCCCAATCTCATTAATAATCAGGAAATATAAGTTAGAATAAAAATGAAATACCATTTTATACACACCAGATTATACAAAATTGAAGCATCGATGATATTAAGGGTTAGCAAGGATGCAGAGCAAGGAAACTCACATTCACTGCTGGTGGGAATATATATTGAAACAAACAGTTTGGAATAAAGTTAGATATTTTCTAGTGAAATTGAAGATGCACATACCCTATGTTCCAGCAATTCTGATCCTAGACATATACTCTAAAGTGGTGCTTTTCAAATTGTTGGGTGAATTGAAGTCAAAATAAAAATGTAGAAATGGGAGGCCAAGGCAGGAGGATCGCTTGAGGCCAGCAGTTGAAGACCAGCCTAAGCAAGAGGGAGACCCCATCTCTACAAAAATAGAAAAATTAGCTGGGTGCTGTGGTGTACACCTCTGATCCCAGCTATTTGGGAGGCTGAGGCAGGAGGATCACTTCAGCCCAGGGGTTTGAGATTGCAGTGAGCTATGATGATGCCACTGCACACTAGCCTTGGAGACAACAAGATCCTGTCTCCAATAAATAAATAAATAAATGTAGAGACAAATCTCTAAATTTAATGTTTTATTTGGGAAGCAGGAATTGCAATCCAAGGCATATACACAAACTGGGTGGTCTTCAGTTCTCTTTGAGGTTTTATAAAAAGGAGAAATGTTACCCATTGATTTGAAAGAAAGTTCAATGGCACTAGCAAAGTTGTGAGGAGCTGGCAAGCTCTGATTGGTGAGTGACCGCAAAGGGTAAAACTAGTCTTATAGTCATTGCAAGTCATTTCAGCAGCTATTAGATAAAACCGGTTTCAGGTTACAACAGGCAATTTCAGCAGCCAGGCTTCACAGAATTACATTCTTGGAGCAACATTATGTGCCCTTAGTGCTTTTTTCCCCCCCTGGCCTTTCAACTGTGTTTTAGTTGGGTATGATAAAAATGACCCAATTCATGTGCTCAACTTTCACAGGTGCAGTCCAATAGTACATCATGAATGAAGTATAATTTTCTGAAAAGTAAAATCATGACTCTTGTAAAAGTATAAAATAAACACATATCAAATATTTTATCTCATTAATTATTTAAGGAGCCAGTAAGGTGGAATGCAGTATGAATTCACTAAGAATCAGGAACACTGAAATGAATTTGCTAAGAAGGGTAAAAGTGGCTTAATATCCTACAGGTCAATAAAATGTAATGTTTTGGTGTAATCTTTTCTATAGGTGGACAGAAATTAGTATAAACTATCAGTTTTCTTGTAAAATAGTTCAGTCAACAGAAAGTCAGAGGTCCCTACGGATTTAAAACCCTTACAGCCTCTGCCAGACAATGCCCAAGCCGTATACTAAAAGGGCACCCAGAAATCTCTTTTGCTCATTTCCAAGTCTTAGACAATGTTTGCTGACAATAGGTCCCTTTTAGAAGTTTTTGGTAATGAAATAGAAAAGACAGAAATTTAGTGCATTGAATACAACAAATGTAAACAGTTTTGTGAAAATTTTGTTTCAGATATATACATCTACACACAAACGTATGCAGTAGCGGGTTTGATGTAAAATATTTTTGTTCACTGTAGGCTGGGATCAAAACGGTCTGACAGCTACTCGTGTGACACATTACGAGGTTCAAAAGTGAAAAGAATTGGACTTTTGAGTTTTCCCTTCACCCAAAGTAGGCATCTATTCAGGGCCAGGCTCAGTCATGCAGATTCAGAAAATGACCTGAGAGAATGGGAGAGAAGCACCATGCCAGAGGTTAGCCAGTCTGTCTCTCCCTAACACTGAGGTCCATGGTCTTCCTGGGACACCAGAAGAACCGTGGGTGCAGGAGGAACGGGAAGGCCGAGCCCGCCACCCACAGCAAGCAGGAGCGCAGGCTCGCAGCGCGGCTGTCCGCCAGCGAGGAAGCAAGCACAAGCCCTGGGCCACAGCAACCGGCAGTGAGAACCGCCGCGGCCCGGCGACCCGCCAGCGGAAGAACCCCGCGCACGCGCAGTAAGAGGCCAGGGCCAGCGGCGCGCCGGAGGTACCTTGCGCCAGGCCCGGCTTGGCCTCCAGTCCTTGGGGGACCGCCCCGACCCGTCGTCCCTGTCTCGTCACCCTGGCCGGGTTCCCCCGCCCTCTCCGGCCTGTGTCTGTCGCGGCTGCGCGCGCAGGGCCTCAGCGGGCGCCGGAGGGAAGGGGAAGCGGCGGGTAAGGAGGGCCTCCGTCCCGGGTGCGTCCATGACGGGGTTGGGAACTTCTGCTCTCTCCGGCTCTCAGGACCCCTGAGGACGAGAGTAAGAGGAGCCTCTGAAACTGGTTTTTCCCTCGCCTCTTCTCCTGCCGCCTCAGGCGTTCCTCTGACAGTCGAAGTGTTGTCTCCCTCCCCGGAGCTTCGTGTGGTGCGGACCGCTCCGGCCCCCGGGGGCATATCCGGAGGTCGCGCCCTCAGCTCCTCTGCTATGCCTTCAGTTGTCTGAGATCCCTTCCCTGCCCTTTGGGTAGCACCAGAGTGATTATCCACTTTTAGTGTCGCAGCAGGTTAGGGGTAGCGCTCTAGGTCCGGCCCCCAACTCAAGCACAAAGAGCCTTGGGTTTTTTGACGCTGGTTTTGGGTTTCTTTCTGACACCCTTTGCTGAAGCAATTTACAGATGCTCTCGACAGTGAATTCAAGGCCACCAAACTTAGGTCCTCCTTAGTTTCTCTGGACATCTCCACCGTTTCCTAATGATCCGCTTTTCAAGTTTGGGGCACTTACATCCCCATGCAATGTCCCAGAATTGTGCTCTTTCTCTTTGGAAATACTGTCACTCCACATGCCGCCTTTTGATGTTCGTGCTTCACTGGCAGTGGGGTAGCATCGCAGATACTGAGAAGCATGTAACAGACTAGGATTTCTGCTGTTTGCTACAAGAGTGGATATTCAGTGAACCCTTTCTTGTAGCAGGAGCAGTGGCTGTGCTTGATGCCTTGAAGTAGGGACAAAGGAAGTACCTTGTAATTAAACCACTGGGGTCCAAAATCTGCGGACAGGGAGAAATCTAAAACAGAAAAGAAAGCCTGAGAGCCACATTATGTTTAATAATATCTGCAGGTCACATTTCTGTTTGCTTTTTTTCCCCTTTTGTATTATTTTAACTAACAAATAATTGTACCTATTTATAGAGTACAGTGTAATATTTTGATACATGTATACAATATGCATGGATCAAATCAAGGTAATTAGCATATTCATCACCTTAAACACTGCTTTTATATGCCAGTTAAATGTAATATGTTGACATTCTTTACATGCTGATGTGAAATTTTAGCAGCCTCGTTAGAGCCTCTCAATCAAATTTCTCAGTAAGCTAATTCCTAGTCACTATAATCAGCCTAGTTATTTTGACTTTGATAAGTTTGACTGAATGCCATGAACTTAATCATTTTTTTAACATCATCCCACACCATTTCTATCACTCTTATTACCAATTCTTCTTGATGCCTAAGTTACAAAACTTTAATCATCTTAGATTTCCCCTGTGCTTTATCTCCGTATTTCTTATGTTAGAGGATCTCATGGTTTCTTTATTTAAAAGGTAACTTAGATTTACATTGCTGAAGCTATAAGGCTGTTTAATGAGACTTTGTTCCCTCTTAACTTATCCCTGTGAAGAATCAAATAGCAGTTCTGAAATATGACTATTTTGAACCCATAAACGCTCAGGTGCAAATTTCAGTGCTTAGGTTTCAAGGCCCTTTCTCTATAACCTGACCTAATGATTCCTGTGCAATGTGATACCATGGAAAAAGTCCTGGATTTAGAGGAAGAAGGCCTGGATTCAGATACTGAAACTGTTACACTAACACTGTATCCTTGGGGAAACTGAGCTTCAGTTTCCTTCTCTGTCCTTTTAGATAAGATTATCTTTTCTTCTCACCTCTTAATTATTATGAGAATTAAAATTGACATAATATGTGGAAAAGCTAACAGTTAAATAAAACAACCTAAGCTATTATGGTTATTTCTCATTATGCTAATTTCACAAACATTTGAAAACCTAATACATGTTAGATACTGGTGCTATAGCTGTGAAAGATAGTCTCTGCCCTTAAGGTACTGTCTTTCAAAGAGCTTTCTGTGTGTGTGTGTGTGTGTGTGTGTGTGTGTATGCTGGGAGTAGGGTGATAGGGTGTGTGAAAAGGTAGAGTATAATATGAGATGTAAAATGGGTAAGCTTAGGATGAGCAATCAACCCAAAGGAGAGAGGAATCGGGAAGGGTTCCTGCAGGAAATTGTATTTGAACAGAGTCTTGAATTATAAGATATAGAAGGGCTTTGTTTGCTAAGGAAAGTGTACAAATTGAAGGATTTTTAAGCAGACAGACTAATCACAATTGCTTTTTGAAAGTTCATTTTGGCTGTGATATGTGCTTCCTTGCTGCAGTGTACAAAAACTTTCTCCCTTTGTGCCTTATTTTTTTTACTCCACAGAGAAGGACTTATGACCTCTCCGCATAGCTTAATACTTTATCTTTCAGTATCCATTTCAGGTGCCATTTCTTCTGTGAAGCATCCTTCAATTATTTTAGCACCCACTACTTATTTCCTTCTCTGAAACCATATTAGAAATAGTATCACACAGTTTAGTACTTATTTGTCTTATGTGTGTTTTATGTCCCTAAGTATAATAGATTGTAAGTATACGGAATGTTTCTTACATATGTGATTGGAAGGCATGTTAAATACAAAAATATGTTCCTTGATCTCTTTTTATTTTGTTTTTCAGGGTAGGAACAAATTATGTGCAACAGTCCTTTTAATTAATCTATCATCATCATGGCTAATGAGGGCTGTCTGAAGGCTTGTGATAGTCCTTTTTCATCAGATAAACATGCCCAACTCATCTTGGCCCAGATCGATAAAATGAGAAATGGACAGCATTTTTGTGATGTGCAGCTGCAAGTTGGGAAGGAAACTTTCAAAGTTCATCGGCTAGTTTTGGCTGCCAGTAGTCCTTACTTTGCAGCCCTGTTCACTGGAGGAATGAAAGAGTCCTCAAAAGATGTTGTACAGATTCTAGGAATTGAACCAGGAATCTTTCAGATACTTCTAGATTTCATTTACACAGGTATGTTATGTGAGCCTGTTGCTTTACGTGAAGAATGATGCAATCACTTTTGTGCTACTGTGGGAACATAAATTGATCTAATTTATCTAGAAGGTAATTTAGCAACATGGTATTATAAGACTGAAAAATTTATATCTTTTGACCCCAGACTCCTTTTCCAGGAATCTGAAGGAATTAATTAGGGATGCAAGCAAATATTTATGAACTAGGATTTTATTGTAACATTATTTATAATAGTATATAATTGGATACAATCTTATTGTCTCTCTGTAGGTTATATGCTTATATAAATTACGTTACATGTATATATATATAAAATGGAATATTTGGAATATTTCTTAGATCTCACAAATTATTTAAAAATATATACTATCATAGAAGAATGTTTATAACATATTAAATGAAAAAAGGGTATAAATACAACTCCAATTTTGCCAAAAGAAAAAAAAAACCTTTGTGTGTATTTGTGTATGAGAAAGAGATGAGGGCCAGGTGCAGTGACTCATCCTTGTAATCCCAGTACTTTGGGAGGCCAAGGTGGGAGGATCACTTGAGACAGGAGTTTGAGGCTGCAGTGAGCTATGATCGTGCCTGTGAATAGCCACTGCACTCCAGCCTGGTTGACAGAGCAAAACCCTGTCTCTAAAAAGAAAAAACAAAAGAGAGAGAGAGAAAGATGAGAATGTTGATAGTGTTTATCTATAGGTGATAGAATATGGAAGATTCTTATTTTTCCCTTTTTTTTGTTTCCCCCCCAAATGTTTATAATCAGCATGTATTATCTTAGTCAAAACTTATATTTTAAAAATGTTTTTGAAGAGTTTCAATGACATTAGAAAATGTACACAAAAACTATACATAATCTTATATGTCTTATATGATATGCAACAAATACAGAAAAAAGATTTGAAAGAAATACACTGAAGAGTTAATATGATATATGTCTGGATGTGGAAAAATGTGTGATTTTCATTTCATTTTTATATTTTTCTGTCTCAAAGTTTTTTCCCCACAGTGAATATATATTACTCTCAGAAAAAAATTGAAAACAAAGACTACGTTTATTCAGTCTAGTTTTGAAACTGTACTGTGCTCTTGCTAAGGGACTACTTGGTGGGAGATAATTAGGTGACCCAATTAAGTATTTTTTTAAATGCATGGTATTTAAACCTGGAAAATGACAAAAGGCTATTTCTTTTCTCTGTGTTGTTTCATATTTCTTTTTGGAAAATTTCAGAAAATAATGATAACCTTAATTTGGGGACTGTGACCATGATTATCTATTATCTACTAAAAGCAGTACAACTTTGTCTATTAGCTTATGTACAAATTAACATTGAGAGGTTCTTGACCTCACTGTTCCAAATAACTTGTGTGAGCTGATGAAACTACTTCATAAATGCACCCCACTTTTTTATTTGAAAAATATAAATTAACACAGATTAATCAATGGAATTAGTGTTGAACTATATAAAAAACAGAAGAAATGCCACAAGTTGTCTATTCTGCCTCTGTTGTCTGACAGTAGCAACAAGAGATATTTAGTCAAGGAGAATGTTCATGGTATCATCATTGTATGGCCAATGGTGAGCACTTCTATCAGAGAAATAAAAGGTGGTAAAACAGCCAGACACGGTGGCTTGAGCCTATAATCTTAGCACTCTGGGAGGCCTAGACGGGAGGATTGCTTGCGCTCAGGAGTGAGACCCTGTCTCTATGAAAAATAGGAAAATTAGCGGAGCAGGGTGGCTCATCTCTGTAGTTCCAGCTACTCAAGAGGCTGAGGCAAGAGGATCACTTGAGCCCAGGAGTTTGAGGTTGCAGTGAGCTACAATGACCGAGGTAGACTCTGTCTCAAAAAAAAAAAGTGGTAAAACCCAGAGAAATAAAAGCTACTGAGCATATCTGGGGGAAATAACATTGTAGAGGACTGACATTTAAGGCAAAATTGGTATCATTTGCATTTGGCTGCCAGAAATAAATATAAACTGGATTAACAAGATAAGACTTTACTTTTCCACTGAAATGAATCCAAAATAGGCATTACAAGGCTTGTTTGGTGGGTTCATAATGTCATTAGTGTCCCAATATTTTTCCAACATTTTTCTCCACCATCTATAGCTTATAGCTTCTAATCTCATGATCACTGAACTCCAGCCAGTGGAAGAAGGTAGGGAGAAAGGCAAAAGGGCCTACCATTCAAGTTTGTCCTTTTTTAAAGCTTTTCTGGTAGCCCTACCCAACAACTGTTGCCCATATCTTGCTGGCCACACTCAGTCAAAAGTTCACACTTACCTGCAAAGGAGACTAGGAAATGTAATTTTCAGCAAAGCACAGTTGCCACCTATGACAAAATTAAAGTTCTATTAGTAAGGATAAGACGAAAATAGAGACTGGGTATTTATTGGACAGGGAAATTTATAGACTTTGATACAATTTGTTCTCAAGCATGTTCCTTCATTTTCATTGTAATGACATTTCCTTTTTTTTTTTCTCCTGACAAACAATTCTTGCTTCAAATCCTTTTTTGTGATGTGGGAGCAGCAAACCTGTCATTGTCTTTCTCTCTCCTTTGGACTTGTCATTCTTTATTAACCATTCACATAAATGATTACAATTAATACATTCGTTTTATTTTTATTTTTATTTTTTTGAGATAGAGTCTCGCTCTGTTGCCCCAGCCAGAGTACAGTGGCATCATCATAGCTCACAGCAACCTCAAACTCCTGGGCTCAAGTGATCCTCTTGCCTCAGCCTCCCGAGTAGCCAGGACTACAGGTGCGGACCACAATGCCCAGCTAATTTTTCTCTTTTTTGTGGAGATAGGATCCCGTTCTTGCTCAGTCTGGTCTTGAACTCCTGAGCTCAAGCGATCTCGCCTCAGCCTCCCAGAGTGCTAGGATTACAGGTGTGAGCCACCATGTCCAGCCAATACATTCTTTTTTTTTTTTGAGACAGAGTTTCACTCTGTTGCCTGAGCTAGAGTGCCATGGCATCAGCCCGGCTCACAGCAACTTCAAACTCCTGGGCTCAAGTGATCCTCCTGCCTCAGCCTCCCAAGTAGTTGGGACTACAGACGTGTGCCACCACGCCTGGCTAATTTTTTCTATTTTTAGTTGCCCAGCTAATTTCTTTTTATTTTTAGTAGAGACAGGGTCTCACTCTTGCTGAGGCCGGTCTCAAACTCCTGACTTCAAATGACCCTCCCGCCTTGGCCTCCCGGAATGCTAGGATTACAGGCGTCAGCTACCGCACCTGGCCCGGGCTAACATTCTTTATTAAGCATTCACAATTCTAATGTGTCTTTTTTGACTTTTTAAAAATTGATATAGCTGTACATATTTGGGGGGTACATGTGATATTTTGATACATGTATACAATATGTTCTAATATGTCTTCAGTGTATTTCTTTTCTTTTTCTTTTTTTAGAAATAGGGTCTCGCTATGTCACCTAGGCTGGAGTACAGTGGCTATTCACAGGCACAATTATAGCACATTGTAGCCTCAAACAGTCCTCCTGCCTCAGCCTCCGAAGTAGCTGGGACTATAAACATGTACCACTGCATGTCACCTTAGATTTTTTTATGCACTTCACTTGGAATCAAATGACCTGAGTTTGAGATCTAGCTCTACCACTAATTAGCTGTGTGATACTAGGCATTTCATTTAACTTTAGTCTATCATTCATTCTTTCAACAAATATCTGTTGAATACTTTTTTGAGCTAGTTACCAGGGATACAGCAGTAAACAAGACAGACATGGTCTCTGCCCTCACAGAGCTTCCTAGGTAAGGCAGATTAGGTACTTATAAATTAGAAATGAACTTGTGAGAGCCTTCTTTTCCTTGTTTATCAAGTGTTGATAGTAGTACTTTATAATTCATCTAAAGGTTAAATGAGATAAATTTTAGTAAATGTGAAAGTGCTTTGTAAGCTATAAAGCCATATTAAGTGATAGGACATTTTAAAAATTACTCTTGAGTAACTCTTGGCATTATCCAATAACAGTCATTCAGACCCCTTACATCACAACTCATAATCTTATCTTCTTCAAATTTGTAGTGAATTCCCATTTCATTCAAGTTAAGTCTTATCTCGGTTTTCTCTGCAGCTACTGTCATTTACCCCCTTGCTGGATTCCATTTCTTATACTTTTGGAAAACCCCCGTTTGCGTTCAGTGAGCAATATTCTTCCTCTCACCATAATCTCTTTGGGCATTCATTCATTTAAAAACAATTTTAAGCCTCTAGCATGTGCTAGGCATTGGGAATACAGAGGAGGCAATCCTTGCCCTAACAGATTTTGTAAATCTAATCTCAGTACAAACTTTAGACAAATATTGATACTTTGGTGGAGTGAATGTTATGAAAAGGATAATGTAAAGGGAAAGCATTAATATAGGATTGAATGGAGAGTTTATCCTTATTAGGTATGAGAATTACAGTGTTTTTTTTTTCTTCCTCTTAAATATTATTGGCTAGTCGATGTCCTCCCAAAATCATTATGTAAATTATGAAAGTGAAGCCCTTGGGAAAGAGAGCAGTAAATATAGTTTAAGCTTCTCATATGATTCTCGTAAGAATCATAGATTCTTGGTTATTCCTAATATTATTAAAAGCTAACATTGTATTGTACTTTATTGTAATTGAAGATAGGGACCCTGTTTTATTCTGCCCAGTGCTTCAATAAATGTTTGTTACATGCATATAACCTTATATTAAAAGCATGGACTTTGATGTCAACTCCTACATTGTAACTTGCTTAATCATGTGACTTGGGGACAAGTTACTTAAACTTTGTTATTCTGATGCTGTTTCCGTAATACAAAAATAAGAAAAACAATACTGCCTACTATATGAGATTGTAATGAGGGTTAAATGAGTACATACATCAATTAAGTCTGGGCATGGTGGCTCACACCTGTAATCCCAGCACTTTGGGAGGCCAAGGCAGGAAGATCACTTGAGGCCAGGAATTTGAGGCCAGCCTAGACATCATAGCAAGACCCCATCTCTAAAACAAATAATAGAATAAAAAATAAATTTAAAACTTAGCCAGGTGTGGCATGTGCCTGTAATTCCAGCTATTTGGGAAGTTGAGGTCGGAGGATCACTTGAGCCCAAAAGTTTGAAGTTATAGTGAGCTATCATTGTGCCACTGCACTCCAGCCTGGGTGACAGAGAAAAAGAACTTGTCTCTAAAATAAATAAATAAATAAAGCAATTAATACTGCACCTGGTTCTTTGTGTTTCATGAATGTTACGTATCATTATCATTTAAATTTTGTGCCCTTTCCACAAATCCTTCATTGCCTTTTTTGCTTACTATCTATCTACTCTGTGAACATTAAGCTATCAGTGAAATCAAATATAATACTTTTTGAATATGGTAAGTCAATGTTTGTTTTTATTTTATTGGCTATTTTGTCTCCCTACTTCCCTAGGTATAGTGAACATAGGTGTGAATAATGTCCAGGAGTTGATTGTTGCAGCAGACATGCTACAGTTGACTGAAGTTGTTAATCTTTGCTGTGAATTTCTGAAAGGCCAAATTGATCCACTGAACTGCATTGGGATCTTTCAGTTCTCTGAGCAAATTGCCTGCCATGACCTTTTGGAATTCACAGAAAACTACATTCATGTCCATTTTTTGGAGGTTCATTGCGGGGAAGAGTTCCTGGCACTTACAAAAGATCAGCTGATCAAAATTTTGCGAAGTGAAGAGCTTAGCATTGAGGATGAATACCAGGTCTTCTTAGCTGCAATGCAATGGATTCTGAAAGATCTGGGAAAGAGAAGAAAACATGTGGTAGAAGTGCTAGACCCAATTCGATTCCCCTTATTACCTCCTCAGAGGCTTTTAAAGTATATAGAAGGTAACTTTTTTGCTGTATATCAAATTAGTTGATTAATTATCCAGTGACTTTTTCTCTGTTTGAAATATGGTACAGTATTTTCATTTATTGGTTTAGTAACAGACATTTATTGAGTGATTACTAAATGTAAGATACCACTTTTGTGTTTTGTGGGTGGGCAATAGTATTTGGATATTTCTACCCATTTTTTCATCAAATTCTTACATACCTTTTTTGAGATTAATTACTAAAGGAGATTAGTTTGATGGATAAGATTATTGACAGAGCTAACATAACCACTGCTGTTGTTGGCATAACTAATTATTTCAGTTTAAGATTTCCCCTGCGACTCAGAAAAATTCAGCAAAACCTAACATTTGAGGAAAATGCATACACTGAAAAAAAAACTCAAAAATCCTGTAAGTCCTCTCATTATGAAATGAATTTGATATTGATATACTATCATAGCTTCTGAGTAGCCTTTGAATCATCTTTAGCTTCAGAACTTCTTTTTGAAAATATTTTCACCATAGTATGAAACAGTTTTTATCTTTATATTAGAAAAATGATAATATTTAAATTTATTTCTAAAAACTATTTTAGACCTGGTTTCAAAATTTGAAGCTTTTAGTCTTGTCATGTGCTGAAAACATTAGGTTGTAACTGAATTACAAATGATTTTATTACAAATTAAGTACACTATTAAGCATTAAAGGTATAATTCTGTGAATAAATTAGTTTTTCTCCACTCTTAGCAGTGTTAATGCAATTTTGTAGGTTTTTCTGTTGATTTACAGTTGATTGTTATTTACAGTAATTATGTTCTATAAAATTGCCATGAACATTGAATTAGCAAATATTGAGCCATTGCTCCTAGGGGAAATGCAGGTTTAGGTTCCTGCAAGCCTCTGGTCACAACATTTTTGTCATCCAATCAGTACATAGCATTGTTTTATGTATGCTTTTGTCTGAAAACACCTTATTTAATATATATTGTTGATTCATTAACATTGAACTCATAGTCAACAGTGCTTATAACTCATCCCTGAGTGAGACTTTATCTGACACAGGTATTTTCTCTGTAAGGCACTTCATAGCTTTCTGACACTTAGGAACACTAGATAGCACTTGAGCACTATGATTGGAGGCCATATTAAAGAGCAAAATCACCAACAAAAAGCACAAAAATGCAAAAAACATGGCATTAAATAGACCGTGAAAAAGGATACTTGTTTATAGCATGAGCTGAAAACAAGACAGAGTAAAGCTTCGTTCAGCCTCACCCAGAAAGTACATGTAAGGTGATTCAAATTTTTTGCCACTCTGCACATGTCTGTGAATGACTGCAAAAGCACCCCAAGTAGAGTAATCCCCCCTTGTTCATGGGGAATGCATTCCAAGACCCTCAGTGGATGCCTAAAACTGCGGGTAGTACCAAACCTTGTATGTACTATATTTTTTTCCTTTACATACACACCTATGATAAAGTTTAACTTATAAATTAGGCACTGTAAGAGATTAATAATAACTATAAAATAAAATAGAACAATTATAACTATATACTATAATAAAAATCAAGTGAATGTGGTCTTTCTCTCTCTCAAAATATCTTCTTATACTGTCCTTACCCTTCTTGTGATGATGTGAGATGATAAAATGCCCATGTGGTGAGGTGAAGTGAGGTGAATGACTTGGGCATTATGACATAGTGTTAGGCTACTATTGAAAACTAATTTAAACCTTATAAATTATTTCTGGAATTTTCCATTTAATGTTTTTGGACCATTGTTAACTGTGGATAACTGAAACCATAGAAAGTAAAACCACGAATAAGGGTGGACTACTGTATTAATTTGGGAGTTATAAATACATTTTAGCAAGTAGGTGTATTCACAAAAAATGAATCTACAAATAATAAGAATTGACTATGTAAATGCTAAAACAAAGGACAGAAATTATCCCGACAACATTTGCGTGAATTGTGAGAATTTAGGAGTAAAGCAGATGCCTTTATGATTGAGTTGGCTTTTCCAAGTGCTGTAGATACAGAGCACTAAAGGAAAGTTCCTCTGCTAGGAGAAAGGCAACGTTCCCTAGAATTGGGACATGTTTTCCTACAGGTTTTTTTGAATTATAATATTCAAGTTGTGCAGTTTTTTAAGCATGCCTAATAGTTATCACCTAATGGTATTTCAGTGGCAGAAAAAACTATAAGGAGCCAAGGGAGAAGTAAATTCAGGATTTTTAAAAGGACAACCTTAATGTTTTTTAACTTTGAAACTTTTCTTCATTGATCATATTGGAGAAAATATGGGCAGTTTATATAGAAAAATAATGAGACTCTACCACAAAATTCAGAAAGGGAGCAAAATACTTAATTGAAGTGGTTAGATTATATTAGGTGAAATGTGTAGATTTTTTCCCCTGGTAAATTTTTTCATACTTACCACTGGAATAATTCAGGCAATTTAATATTATTAGATATGTGGTTATCTATGCATTTTAGAAAATTACTTTTTTTTTAAATGGAACATGCTCATTATAAAAAATTTAGGTAATAAGAATTATAAAAACAACAACAAATCACCCAAAGTCTGCCATCCAGAAATAACCAGTTTTAATTAACATTTAGTAAACATCATTCTAGATAGGAAGATATATGATGGATGGATGGATCGTTGAATAGATAGAAAAAGGTTTGGTTTTTTTATAAGAATAAGAATTATTCTAAGGCTGGGCCCGGTGGCTCACGCCTGTAATCCTAGCACTCTGGGAGGCCGAGACGGGTGGATCGTTTGAGCTCAGGAGTTCGAGATCAGCCTGAGCAAGAGGAAGACC